AACTAGAGATGTAAGATACTCTTTATTTGATTCATACATTAATAAGCGAATGAACGGCTTGAGAGAGAGAGATCTTCAATACAAGGAGTTTACAATTTATTTAACTTAAAGATGAGATATTATTGCATTGTCTTAATATAACAAGAAAATCTTTGGGCATAGGGTTATAGTTTAGGGATGAGGGATCTATCGCGACTTGAACACGCGAAGTGACAGCCCGAAATAGCCAATGGCATAGAATCCGAGGATGAATGCCACCATGAGCAACAAGTCGATCACAAAACGATCAGCTCTGAATGAGAACATCGACAGCACCTCGTCTCGTCGCTAAAAAAAATCAAAATTACAATGAGGTAGATGAGAAGATTATAAAAACATCAGAAACAGAATGAAGAAGTCAATAAACAGGGCTTGTGAGAAACGATTTACGAGAAATTATGCGAAAAGAGACAACTTCTAAAGCCCAGATAAGGGATGTTTTTGGAACACTGTAAAGTTTTCTACCATCGACCTTTTTGTTACCGCGAAGCAAAAGAAACTAATAAGTAGTGCGAATAGGGAAAGTGACTGAAAAAGGATCAGCACGAAAAGAGAGCAGAAGGTACAATGTGGTGCTAACCTGAGTGTTCCAGTCAGTGGAATTCACACCATTTACTTCCTGCCACTGATTGATAGCTAAAGCTTCAAATCCATATCTGAAATAGCAGTGCTGATCATATAATGAGAAGCAAACAGTGAGGATTTACCTGAACCAACTAAGGTACTGTATCCATGATACATATGGTGGAAGAGTACCAACATTTGCAAAAAGTCCTCCAGTAAGTGACAATAAGGTAAGAAGTGGACCGGCCAAAGCGACTGCTATCTAGAAATAGATTGATTCCAACGATACAGCGATCCTATACCATTTTAAATTGCGACTGCTGGGAAATACCGGATATGAAGGAGAGATGCATGCTAGCATTACTCCGAATGCAGATGAGGACTGCTCAACGAGAAAAGCGATAATCGTGGCAAAAATAACCTAAAGTTATCTATATAATGATAATCCTTCGAAAAAAAATCCATAGTACATTACCTGCGTGACTGAGCTAGAAAATCCAACCATCCAATAACAAACATAGAGCATCAACAAACCGTCAAGACTGAACAGAGGAATGTAGGAAAATATTCGGGCCAAGTAGTAACTGAAACAGTGCATTTGCAACAGCAAAAACAAGATTTTGGGTTAGGACGACCTGAATACGTAGTAAATTCCATCATGATATTCGCGTACAACGAGAGGGTAGTCCCCCGGTAGGCATGTAAGAATTCCGAATAGGGACGAGTACGTCAGCTCAGAGACTATGTAGAAAAGGGCACCATTAAGATTTCCTATTCCGACACGTGTAAGAGGTGTCTGAAAAAAGTCTCTTATACAGAAGATCTACTGGGTCTTTTTCTAACGTAAACGAACTCACTCTGAGATAAAGCAGGCCGATGAAGATACCCATTACGAACTTTTGAAGCAATTTTGCCCTGGCTAGTGACGGGTTTCTCAAATTATCAAGAGAATACCTAGATGTAAGGTTATTAGGCACGAGGACAAAAATGAGAAACATGGAAGCTTAAGGTACCTATGAAAAAGGGCGCCAACTTGCGTAAAAAAGCCAAGTCTACGACGTCCACGCGGGACTTCAGTAACAGGAATTCTAGAGACCTCCTCAGCCACAAAGCGGCCCTGAGTGCTGAAATGTTTCACATTGCCGTCGCTTTTGGTAGAATTAGATCATTTGCTTACCTGTTCTCAAACGCATCGCAGATTTGGGTGATTCGCTGCCGGCAAGCTTCTTCTTCATGGGGAACAACGGCAAGGGTATGAAT